CCCACATCTGGTCTGTAGCAAATCTTCCAGCTCTGGTTTCAAAATACATACAGAATTCAACCTCAGATTGTTCCCCATTTCTACAGTCACTCTCCTAATCCTAGCCAGCAGCGGGTCTTACCCGGATGTCTGCAGTAGCCTCTAACAGGCTTGCTCTTTGCTGGCAGGGTCCCCGCTGGCCCAGACAGTGTCTTTGTGAAAGTTAGACAAAGACTTCCTTCTCCACAAAGCAGTTTCCATCTGCCAAATTGATGTGAGAATGAGCATTTAAAGTCATGATGTGTGCCATGTGACCACACTCACTCAGACACGGGACTCTTGTGCAGTACACAGCCTGCATAACTGTCCAAGATTCCTTGCTTCCTTCTTAATCTTGATATTCTTATTAATATTAATGATAATCTTACAATCAATAATATTCTTATTAATATTCTGATATTCTTATTTAATCTTTTTTTTTTGGTCTGTTCCCCCCTATAAATTCAGTCTTTGTGACAGCAGGGATTTTTGTGCCTTGTTCCCTGTGGTATCCCAACACCTAATCAGTGCCTGACATGTGAGAGGCAATCCATGAATCTTTAGCAAAGCATCCAAAGAACAGAAGGATCACCACCCCAAAGCCCTGGGAGTGAGCTGTCAGCAGGGCGACTGAAGTGTCCTGAAATCATTTGATCAAATGTACATCATCAAGCACTATTTCCATGGAGAGACTCCTGGAAAATAGAATTTCTTTTGAGTTGTTAGTTCTTTGTAACAAACATTGCCATGAATAAATTCTGTATGCTTTTAGTAATGTGTGGGCCCTGACTGTAAGAAGCAAAGTGTAATGGAAAAGTCCTGAGGCTGGGAGCTGGACAAAAGTTATTTTGGGAGAAGGAAGAATGCTTAATAAATGCTTTAAAAAAAATTGAAGGATAGTTGATTTAAAGTGTTGTGTTAGTTTCAGGTACGCAGCAAAGTGATTATCTATTTTTCAGATTCCTTTCTACTGTAGATAATAACAAAATATTGAATATGACTCCCTGTGCTATGCAGTAAATCATTAGTGTTTATCTCTTTTATATATAATATTGTGTATCTGTCAGTTGCAAACTCCTAATTTATCCCTCCCCACCCCTCTCCACTTTGGTAACTGTAAGTTTGTTTTCTGGGTCTGAGTTTGCTTCTGCTTTATACATAAGTTCATTTGTATTATTTTTTAGATTTCTCGTTTAAGTGATAGCATATGGTATTTGTCTTTATCTGATTTGCTTCACTTACTATGATAATCTCTATGTCTATCCATGTTGCTGCAAATGGCATTGTTTCATTCTTTTTTATGGCTTAGTGGAGAACAGAGGAGCCTGGTATGCTGCAGTCCATGGGGTTGTGAAGAGCCAGACATGACGGAGCGACTGAGCAAGGGTAGCAGATATTCCCTGTGTCTGTGCGCCACGTCTGCTTTATCCATCCAGCTGCTGATGTACGTTTAGGTTGCTTTCATGTCTCGGCTACTGTGAATAGTGCTGCTGTGAACATAGGGTGCATGTATCTTTTCAAAATAGAGTTTTTGTCTTTTCCCAATATGGGCCCATTAGTGGGATTGCTGGATCATATGGCAGTTCTATTTTTAGTTTTTTAAAGAATCTCCATACTCTTCTCCAGAGCAGCTGCACAAGTTGACATTCCCACAAACAGTGTAGGAGGGTTCTCTTTTTCTCCACATCCTCTCCAGCATTTACTATTTGTAGGCTTTTTGATGATAGCCATTCTGACTGGTTTGAGGTAATACTTCATTGTGGATTTGATTTGCTTTTCTCTAATAATTAGTGATGTTGAGCATCTTTTCTGACTGGTTCCAAATAGGAAAAGGAGCATGTCAAGGCTGTATATTGTCACCCTGCTTATTTAACTTATATGCAGAGTACATCATGAGAAACGCTGGGCTGGAAGAAGCACAAGCTGGAATCAAGATTGCTGGGAGAAATAGCAATATAACCTCAGATATGCAGATGACACCAGAAAGCGAAGAGGAACTAAAGAGCCTCTTGATGAAAGTGAAAGAGGAGAGTGAAAAAGTTGGCTTAAAGCGCAACATTCAGAAAACTAAAATCATGGCATCCAGTCCCATCACTTCATGGCAAATAGATGGAGAAACAATGGAAACAGTGGCTGACTTTATTTTCTTGGGCTCCAAAATCACTGCAGATGGTGACCTGAGCAACTGAGCTGACTGACTGACTGACTGAGCATCTTTTCATGTGCCTGTTGTCTGTCTGTTTGTTTTCTTTGGAGCAATGTCTATTTAGGTCTTATGCTCATTTTTTTTTTTAATTGGGTTGGAGTTTTTTGGACATTAAGTTGTATGAGCTTTTGTATATTTTGGAAATTAATCCCTCGCCCATCACATAATTTGCAGATATTTTCTGCCAATTCATAGGTTATCATTTCATTTTGTTGTGCAAAAACTTTTAAGTTTGATTAGGTTCCAATTTGTTTATTTTTGCCTTCTTTTTTTGTGGGAGACTAATCTAAGAAAATATTGTTACAGTTATGTCAGAATGTTTCACCTGTGTTCTTGTCTAGGAGTTTTATGGTGTCTTTTCTTATAGGTAAGTCTTTAAGTCATTCTGGTTTTATTTTTGTGTATCCTGTGAGGGTGTGTGCTAATTTCATCGATTTATATGCGGCTGTCCAGCTTTCTCAGCACCACTTGCTGAAGAGACTGTCTCTTCTCCATTTTATGTTCTTGCCTCCTCTGGCAAAGATTAATTTATCATCAGTGTGTGGGTTTATTTCTGGCTCTCTGTATTCTGTTCCATCGATCCATATGTTTGGTTTTGTGCCACTGCCATGCTGTTTTGATTACCACAGCTTTCTAGTATTGTTTGAAGTCTGGGAAACTGGAGGGTTATACCTCCTGCTTTGCTTTTTTTCTTTAGAATTGCTGTGGCAATTCTGTATCTTTTGGTGTGCCATGTGAATTTTAGGATTGCTTGTTTTTCCTTTTGTGGTTTGATGATTTTCTTTGGTATTATGCATGAGTTCCTTTATTTTGGGGTTTTGTGAGTCTGTTGTATGTTTTTGATTTGTGGTCACCCTGGTTTTCAAGAATGTTAACCCATAAGTATATCTGCTTACTGTAGACTGGCAGTCATATAGGTTCAAACATGTTCTGAAAGGTCTACATTTTTAACTCCCCTCCCCGTACATTTTGTGATTTTAATGTCCTATTTTACATCTTCATGTTTATCCTTTTGCTGTTAATTATAATTATTATCTCTCATCAATTTTTTGGGTTGTTTTTAAATCTATATACTGACTTATTTATGTGATTTTCAATTGCTTTATAAATTTACCTTTCCTATAGTGATTTTCCCTCTTCTATAGAATCTTGTTTCTTTTCTGTTTAGAGAAGACCTTTCAGTATTTCTTTTAGGATGGGTTTGGTATTTCTGTATCCTGTTAGTTTTTTTGTGTGAGAAATTCTTAGTCTCTCCTGTTCTCAGTGATAATCTTGCTGGATAGAGTATCCTGGGTTGCAGGTCTTTCCGTTTCAGGACTCTGAATATACATTGCCACTCTCTCAGGCGTACAGTGTTTGTGTGGAGAAATCAGCTGACGGCCTTATGGGGGGTTCCCTTTTAACTGATTCTCTGTTTTTCTCTTGCTGCCTTTAGAATCCTCTCTTTAACTCTTTCCATTTTAACTATACTATATTTCAGTGCATCCTGGTAGCTCAGCTGCTAAAGAATCTGCCTGCAACACAGGAGACCCTGGTTCGATTCCTGAGTTGGGATGATCCACTGGAGAAGGGGTAGGCTACCCACTCCAGATTCTTGGGCTTCCCTTGTGACTCAGCTGGTAAAGAATCCACCTGCAATGCAGGAGACCCTGATTCGATTCCTGGGTCGGGAAGATCCACTGGAGAAGGGAAAGGCTGCTCATTCCGATATTCTGGCCTGGAGAATTCCATGGACTGTGTAGTCTGTGGGGTTGCAGAGAGTCGGATGTGACTGAGCGACTTCACTTTCACTTCACTTTCATGTCTCAGTGTGGATCTGTTTGGGTTCATCTTGTTTGGGACCCTCTGTGCTCCTGCACCTGGTTATCTGTCTCTTGCTTTAGGTTTGGGAAGTTTTGGGCCATAATTTCTTCAAATGTTTTTGGTCTTATTTTTCTTTCTTCTCCTTCAAGAACCGCCATTATGTATAGCTTGGCACACTTTATATAATCCTATAGATCTTGTATGTTGCTTCCATTTTTTTTTCATTTATCTGTCTACTGTCTTTCTGTCTGATTGATTGATTTCCATTATTCTGTTTTCCTGATCACTTATTTGTTCTCCTGCATTATTTAGTCTTCTGTTCACTACTTGTAGCTTGTTTTCATCTTGGCAGTGAAGTTGTCTAATTTTGATTACTTCCTCTTTATAGCTTCTAGTTCCTTGTTATAGTAATCTGTATTTCTAGCAATAATCTTTCTTAATTCCTTCAGCATTTTTATTGCCTCCATTTTGAAGTCAGAATCTGGTGGACTGGAGAGGTCTGTTTAATCATTTGTTCTTTCAAGGGAATTCTGTTCTTTTAATTGGGAATAGTTCCTCTGCACTTACATTTTACTTAAGTCTCTGTCTCTGTGAATTTAAGAGAGGCAGTTGTCTGCTGTGGTCTTGACAGGCAGTGTTTGTGTGGGCAGATCCCGAATCCCTGTATAGACTAAGTGAGCCCAGTATTTTTGAGGTGAGTACTGTACTTGTCTTCTCTCGGCGTGCGCTGGTCGTTACTCCCTTGATGAGGGTGTGGCTGGTGTTGTGACCAGGCCTCTCTGGGTGTTTGGGGGCCTCTTCTTTGCTCTGTGGCTGTCACAGCCCTGTTGGGGGGGGGGAGGGGGGTCTGCGCCCTTGTTGTTGGAGGAGAGGCCCGGAGGGTCAGGTTTAATGTGTCAGGTTTACACATTGCCCTTGAATGTGTACGCTGTCCCCAAAGAGACGAGTGCTGAAGCAGGTGAGGCCCCTGCGGTCACAGCCGACGTGCGCACCGCGCGTAGGCCCCTGTGGTCACAGCCGACGTGCGCACGGCGTGTGTGGGTGTCCGTGGTTCTGCCCAGAAGCTGCCCAAGGTCATGCCCCATTCTCCATTGTCTTCACCCCAGGTCTGTAGCTGGGCTGGCGCTGGGGCCTGGGGCCTTGTGACCACAGGAATCGAGGGGGTCGTGCCGGCTGTCTGAGACCTGGGTCTCCTCTGTGGGAGGGCACCCCAGGGCCTGTCGCCCAGCGCTGGCTCCATGCTGTGGTGTGAGGAGGGCAGGACTGGGACGCTCCCCTGGGACCGGAGCTTCCGCGTACCCATCCCTGGGGCTGTCTGTGGGGACGAGCGGTTCAGTAGTGCCGGCCAGCCCCCGTGTGCACACAGTCAGGGCCTCCGCGTTACTCAGAGTTCTCCACAGAAACAGAATCAAAGGATGTGTGTGGAGAGAGATTTGTTTCCAGAAACTGACCGGAGGAGTTGAGGAGCAGTCAGCACACAGAGGCCTGGGGCAGTGCTGGCGTCGCGGCTCTCGTCTGAAGGCAGGATCCCTCTTCCTCAGAAGACCTAAGTCTTTGCCCCAGGGGCCGTCAGCTGATTAGACCAAGCCCTCCGTGTTATGGAGAATAATCTGTTTTACTCAGAGTCGGCTGACTTAGATGTAAATTCAGTTTGTAAAAAAATGCTTCCTGTAAAGTAATTAGCCTCCAACTAATAAAAATAAATGGAAAAAAAAAATGCTTCCAACAGTGGCATGAAACTGCCGTCTGACCAAGTGTCCGGGTCGTGTGACCTATCCAAGGTGACCTTAAATTTAGCGAACAGCCTCCATGTCTGGCTTGAGGAATAGCATGGAGCCTGGAAGACCATGCTGAGCCGGGTGGAAATCCCAGGTGTCACATGGAGACCAGCAGGGGCGGAGAAGGGTGCACAGATGAGGCCCTTGCCAACCCCTCTCGGGCCTTGAGGAATGTCTTCATACCAGACCACGACCCTTCAGCAGGCATTACTGCAGGTCTGGTGAGCAGATTTACTTAGCACCGCTGATGCCAACGCTTAGTTCTCAGGCTAGTTTACCCTCCATCATAGGGACACCTCCAAAGCTACACATAGCACTCAAAGTCCAGCTCCATGAGCACCCAAAATATTAACATAAAATGTTTCTGTAACAATTCAAAGGGCTATTTTTGGATTATCTTCCCCAGAACAATTGACAATAGAAACAGTCAACCCTTCCACATAAAACTCCACCTTTTCTTTGGAATAAGATGGATCAACTGAGACTCAAAATGGTGTCCACGGCACACTTCTGAATACCTGAGTGATTGATTTTAAGGACCACCAGCAGAGGATACCAGGATCCCATCTGGGCTGCACTGCACTTCTCTGAGTCCTTTCCCCAGAGTGGCTCAGACAGCATACTTCTCCAGCCGTGATCAAGCTGCAGGCCTCACTTCTCACGTACAAATGCTCAGAGACAGTACCCATGAGATACCCAGAAGGGAGAAGGCAAGGGTGTCACGGACTGCGCAGGGGCCCCGCCCCGCTTATGTAACAGGATAAGAGCACAGCCCGTGCTCATCAGTGTGGGCTCTGGCATTATTCCACTTGGACCGAAATCCCAGTTATGTTCTTGAGCCTTTCTGTGTCTCTATTTCATCAGTAGCAACGGATGGTAAAAGGGTTTTTATGAGTATTAAATGAATTAATACTAAAAGCTTAGGAGAGTGCCTGGCACACAGGACTTGGCTCAATATATTTCAGTCGAACGTATTAGCTTATTAAATAGGGCATTTAACATCTCACTCTGCAGCATTTTCTCTTGGGCTGTCTCATCAGTTCCATCCACAGGAATAACATTTGAGTCCTTATTGCTTCTTTTGTTACCTCTACATAACCAAAGGTCCCTGCCATAATGGTCGCTTAGAACAAAGGGATGTCCCAAAGATAAATTGCAGTCTCTCCCCCTAGAAATAAGAACAAGCAAACAAAAAACACACCACCACCAAACCTGCTGACAACCCTCCCAACTACATGCTCCAAGTTCCAGCAAAATAAAGACCATCCTCACTGAACACCTCCTTAAGAAAGCTGGGTATTAGTCTGGTGATGAGGAGCCAGTGCAGAATTTTCAGTAAAGTGGGTCTTGATTCAGCTTGTGTTTGTGAAGTTCACTCCAGCAGAGTGCAGAGGACAGAGCGTAGAGCTGTTGAGACAGAATTCCAAGCACAAGGCCATTGCAGGGGCCAGACAGGAAATAAGGGGAACAAAACCCAAGGCAACAGCTGATGGAATTGTGCAAAAAGACCTTCTTCAACAGCCATCACACCTGCAAAGTACAGTTAGCACATTCAGTAATTATCTGCTTTTAGTTTGCTCTCATGATGTTTGACTTGCATCAGGGCAAGATGGGATGTTCATTGCGTGGGTGGAAACTCTTGGCTTCCAGAGGCCACACAGGAAAAGATGAGCAAACCCTGTCTGTTTACTTCTCTTATGTGTCGTGCTCATGAATTGCCTTGACTTTCCACAGTGACAGTTGCCCTGGAGTACAAGTTAGCACTGAAAATTGAAAACTGTTAGATCACAGCACCTTCCTTTGTCTGAAAACACCTGGGACTGAGGTTCTGCCAGTTTAGTGGGGGCCAGGAGAGCAGTAACCTCCACCAGGATGAACCATCATTGCTGGGCCCCTGGGCACCCATCTGTATCTTCTGGGGGCCTCAGGAATCAGCCTAGAGCTATGCTATACTGCAGAACAGAATCCAGCTGCCTGATGCTTCTTTTATCATTCTTTGAGTAAAACAAGTACAGGATCAAGGAATTCTCTTTTTCAGTCATTTGCTGCATGAGTATCTTTTCATTTGGGGACTACTCAAGTGCTTTTTAATGAATAAGTTCGTTAGCTCTAATCTTGTTCCTGTGGAACAAATTATGGAAGAGGGGCAGTGGCTTCTCCCCCAGAGTCACAGGCCAGTCAGCCTCTAGCCCGACCGTCTGTACACCAGCAAGCAGCCCAGTGGGCAGACGCTCCATGTGTCCTTGAACTTCAACCCAGGGGTCATCTTCATAAGCGGGGGACAAGCCAGTCCTACCTTTTAGGAGACAGAAAGCATCACAGAAAAGGAAAGGTAAGATTAGATAACCCAAGAAGTGAGACGTAAAATTTTTTAATGAGGCCTGAAAAACATTATACTGTTATATGTTCGAGCACTTTTATTAAATAATGTTCTCACTGGTGTTTCATAAAACATGAAACTCCATCTACAGTATTTCTCTAGTTTCGAGAAATTTTGTAGCTCAGTTATTTATAAGGCAGTGTTTTCTACAGCAAGCCTGTCCCTCTTCCCCTTGTTTTTGTCAAGACTGTATCTCCCAAGATTTTCTTCTTATCTTTTATGCTAAAAGACAGTGACTAATGTCCCAAGATATGAACTCTCAAATAAACACAAATGATGCAACACTGCATGATAGAAGATACTTTTCAGAAACAAAATATTAATATTATCTGGTATATCCTCACATATTTGGGGGCCATAAATCTTGCTTTATTCATCCATTAGGTTTTCTTTATGAGTCTCTTTTTTTAAATAGACATACAGTAGTTGAAATAAATAAACCAGGTCTCCATAGTCTCGGTTTCGAGGACTGTCCATCTGTTTAGAAAAAGTGCAGTAGGGTTGATCTAGTTCTTTCTATTCTTAGATTTCTTTCTTTTATAGCTCCCAACTGTCACCATCCTCAAGCACAACCAAGAAGCAAATAAAGCAAACATAAGCTCCTGTTCCAAGGGCATACCTGGAGGGGTTTGTTTTCAGAAGGGCAGAGTGGACGCAGCATCCCCAGGTCAATTAGGAGTCTGGAGACACGCAGACACACGCTCACTCACTCTCTTAGTCCACGGACGCAGCATCCCCAGGTCAATTAGGAGTCTGGAGACACGCAGACACACGCTCACTCACTCTCTTAGTCCACGGACGCAGCATCCCCAGGTCAATTAGGAGTCTGGAGACACGGAGACACACGCTCACTCACTCGCTTAGTCACTTATGTGTTCTCCCCACAACACGGACCGGTGGGAAGGAGAGTCAGACGTCTCCCCTCCCCTGGGGAAGAGGGACTTATTTTTAAGAAAAACTGAAGCTTGTGGGGTTTTTTTTCCCCTGTCCTTTGAGCTTTTCAAAACCGACCTTCCCATCCTGCTTGTAAATAGGAGCTTCACCCCTCCCTGCACTACAGGCTCTAGCCAAGTCCAGAACAGGATTTAAGCTGGAAGACCCTGCAGAGCTCTAGACAGCAAAGAGCAGATTATTTGAAATCCTACACCAAGATGAACTCGCAGCCCTCGCTTGCGGACTCGTGTTACATGACAGGCACCACGCTCCGGGATCGTGTGCGCTGCGCCCTCCCCACAGCTTCCTGTGACCGGCGTGGTGGTGGTCAGTCACTCAGTTGTGTCCGACTCTCTGCAACCCCAGGGACTACAGCAGGCCAGGCTTCCCTGTCCTTCAGCATCTCCAGGAGTTTGCTCAAACTCCTGTGATCGGTGTGACCCACATGATTCACGGGAGACAAGAGGCGGGAATTCAGGTAAGGCCCTGGAGGCTGCCGTCCTGCCTGGCACTTCAGAGACCTGCTGTAGCCAGTTGTTTTCACACCATTCCCTGTAAGGGGAAGACAACCCCCCCTCCCCCAAAGACCCCCTGCTGTTTGTGTCTTATCTCTTTTCGGAAATAAAACATTACAGAGAAAGCCTTCTGGATCTCTGCATCCCTGGGGGGTAGAGGGGAGGCAGTGACTGGGGAGGTGACGAGGTGGAGGCCACCCCCCATGCTGATGTCCACTCGGCGCCTCCCCCAGCAGGCCCCCGGGCCCAGCTGCACAAGTGTCCCCCAGCCACCCCTGCCGGGCCCAAGCCCAGGAGGAGGGCGGCTCAGATGTGCAGAGACAAGGCTGACAGCTGAGACAGGTTTAAACGAGGACGGGTTTGCCGGCAGCTGTTGGCTGTGAAACACGCACACTCCACCCTCTCCCAGGGCAGGTGGAAGGCGTGGCACCATCACAGGTCGGGGGTGGAAGGGGCGACTCGAGCTGAGTCTCCCTGCCTGTCTGCATTCCTCCTCCCCGTCGCCTTCTGAGCAGGGATCTCCTGCCCTGATTGTTGGGCACGCTCGCTGCACACTCACTGAGGGACACTCCCCACCCCACATCCCCGTGCTTCCTGCAGTGTGCCCACCAAAGACGTTTACGAGAGATGTGCTCCCAGACTCAGAACTGCCGACTTTCTCAGTAGAAAATGGAAAGACAAACACAGCATCCATGCG